CTTGTCTGTTGTAATTATATTTTACACCTCTTTCAGCTGGATTTAGTAGGTTTTCTTTAATATTCATCTAATGGTTCTTTTTTTCCTTGTTTTTAGATTTAAGTGTTTTAGGTTTTTTGTGGGAGCACAAACTGCAGAACAAACTTATCGGGTTGTAAAGGAAAGGTATCTTAAGGTTGCCAATAGTCACGATAAAGTGTCATATCTGCATGTTCTTGGTAAATGCATTCTTTTCGTCCATCTTACATAATAGTGTTACACAACTGTTAAAAAATTCTTAATTAAAACATTCCAGTTTTGGCGGAGCGCGAGTTCACCGTTGTCAAAACCTATTAAACCGCCTGATGTATTATATTTAAGTTGGACTGAATAGGATTCACAAAAGGTACATCTAGGGAAGCCTTAGTGATGTTCCTTTTTCATTACTATTGTAGTTGTTGGTATTCTTGGTTGACAAGCGAGAGATAAGGCTGTGTGTTATTAATTTTTACCGTATATACTCGAATCAGCGCCGCAATTTCCAAGCAACCCTGCGGCGCTTATTTGAATACTGATGTCTTTTTTTTCTTCTGGCTGGTAAACATGGAAAAGGCCGCTCTGCTGGCTGGGAGAATAGCCATCTAACCTGCTGGGAGTGAGGAACAGATAAATTCTTTCCAGCAACACAGAAAAGCGCTTGAAAATGCCTTAAAAGCGTCTAAATTTTCGTTTTCTGTAGTTAACGGCTCATTTTCAGAAAAATATTCGTTGGGTGCCCCTGTATTTCATCATCTAAAGGTGAAAATCTGGAAGGTGATTAAAAATTTTTCCATAACAGAACGTCACGTAAATAAAATGTTAATCTAAATCACGTTAATCTTTTACTGTTCGTACTTTTCGTTAATTTATCTTATTAACAACGTAACACTATTCTTGATACGCATGTTATTCTGCTGTACGCGAATATCATTTTACTCTTATTACTCCTCATTTCAACTATAAATCGTCGGAGATGTTTTGTTACGTTCAGCTAAGTAGACAGGGTAGTTTTGTTTTCTGAAAGTCATGTATAGTAGTAACATACATCTTTGGTTCGCTCAAATCGAAAGATTTTAAATTGAATCCATGCATTTCTGTGTAATTTTACGTGTATGTATTCTCTTGTTGATAACTGAAAACATAAATGTTATATACAAACAACCCTTGACAATGCCCTTGTATCTATGCCCGCAACAATGTTAAAAATATTATTTTAAACAGACTGGTAAAATTAAAATAATCATTTCTGCATTCTGCAAATTTCAGCAGGATCTACGCATGCGCTACACGTTTGACCGCTTTGAATTCCATTCTTGATCTCGACTGATGAACTCGACCTTGGGAGTTGCTTTACATGACCCTTTGCTGCACTCGACGAGAAGTTTCCCAGAGCTCTTTCTGTCCGTCTGTCGAGCTCTCTGAAAGAGGACGAGATCAGAAGTTATAAATGTTATGAATCTTAGTTCTTTACATTTGGTTCCGTGTCATGCCCGACTCATGTAGAATCTATTATGTCTTTAGCCTGCGAAAACATCCGTTTCTCTTCGCTCTTTATCGCTGGGGACGTTTCGCAAGGAGGAACGTCGTCGGCGACTCTGCGACAGAAATTCCGTACTAATGACGCAACACAGTTCGTTGAAGTTTGGTATCTGTGGATAAGCAGCAAAACTCAGTTCCTAGCTCGGCCTTTAAGCATTAATAAGCAAGTACCATTTAATACTATAGAGAAAAAACTATATTTTGAAACAAAACTGTCGTCAAGTTCCATGTCGTATCCTGCTTTCAAAAATGTAATGAAGAATTTCTCATCCTAATCTCTTAACAAATAATTCTAACTCACCTTTGTGTCGCAAACAATACCATAAACAACGTATAAACAAGAAAAATTAGAATATTATTACAAAAAGTAACAAAAATGCATTCGGAAAATTTGCTAGACGATACACTTACATTTAAATTTTTTCATAATTTGTTTTCTGTATTAAGTACGCAAAAACACTGAAAAGGAGAAATTCTCTGAAAGGAGTTGTAATAATATGCGTGGGTTTCTTTCAGCCTTAGTTATTGATTTATTACTTAGTTACTTAGAAAACACAAATCGTTGGAAATGATTCTGATTTCATATGCATTCCCTCTAAAACTGACGGCCCCTTCGTGTGGCTTTCACGCCTCGCAAAAAATGCAGAAAAATCAGTGATCTGGAAATCCGACTATGAGACACTGTATGAGTTTTTTCAGCCGCTTTTAAAGTTGGTGCTTGATAACATAAGTTCAAAGGGTGACGGCGAGGCGCACGATTTGTCGATCAGGCCAAGTTGGTCGGATTTTTTTTTTCAGAATATTGCTTTACTCTTTCCCCCTCAAGAACGGATTCTAGTCAATCGTTTCGGGTCACGTGGTCTGAGCAAGTTCGTCTTGGAAACTTGGATACGTAAATGCATTGACCGAGAAGGCCTGGGGAGACGGGCAAATTTGTACCCATTTATAGAGTGTTTTCACATGACGTCACGGCGGCCATACTGGTGTCCCAAAACAATGAAACGGCGGCCATGTTGGTGTCCCAAACCCGTCCTCTGGGAGTTGAACTCTTTTCTTATGCAAAACGCGTTCTTTTGTTCCAATAAATTTGCATATATGCTGGCCACGTGAGTGAAAACACTCTATACAACCGGGTGGAACAAATGTAATATGGGTTCATTATTAGGGAGCTTAGCAACAACGACGGCGACGGCTTGCTACGGAAACGTCACTTAAAAAAGTCGCGCTGCTTCAAACTTTATCGCGCTTATTCCGTCTCGTCTAATTCGCCAAATGCTAGCAAATTTTTTTGACGTTGAATTCTAACGGACTGTATCAAAATTCTGGAAAAGAAAAAGAAAGTCGTTGAATTGTGTTCACATCCTGCAATAAACGTTTATTCATTCTCATTATGAGTTTCTGGTGAAGCTAAAAATCTCTATTAATAATCATGTCTTTAAAAAAGACACATCAGGTGACAATCACTCACATGTTCTATCTCTCGTTGCAGTCTTACATATTGCCGAATAAACCAATCAACGAGAAGACGCCACTGCGCGCACATGTTTAAAGTCCCAACAGATACAACTGAGAAGGCCTCCGGTCTAATATTCTTCGACAAGGTTCCTCGTCACAATGTAAAACAAATCCGACCAACGATTCCTGTGAGCAGTTGACGTAAATGTTTGTCCAGAGGCTATTATCACTTGTTCAACTCAGGACTGGATGTCACCGTATCAGAACACTTTGACCAGCCGGGGTCATTTCAGACAAACTCTTGCCTAAGTAGTCCAGCAACCACTAAGAATCATTGATGGACTTAGTCAGTTCGACAACTTTCAGGCTTTGTTGAAGGCCTGGCTTCCCAGGCCTGTAAGTTTGAGAGTGTAACATAGCTTCCTGATGTTCCAGAGTTAAACAACGAAGCGCTTTCACTTGTCATGAACCAAACTAAAGAGACTGCTGACATTTAGCTTTGCTCCGTATGAGAGCAGTCTTATTTCAAAGACGTCGTTGTTATTTAAAAGAAGGAAATAATATGTTAGCCCCTATTTTGTGTTTTTTATTTGCGCAAAATTCACTCGGCATCTTTGAGCATAATTTCGAGCATAATGCTATGATTTTAGGAGTGACGCCCAAAAGCATAATGCTCAAATTTGCGAGCATAATTTCTCTAACCCTACCTCGTCCTCGAATCTAAAGCTCTCTATTAAAGCCACACTTCTTTTTGCAGTTCAACTCTATTACTACTAGGCATAGAACAAGTTCGAGTAATAGTATATTAGTACTTCTAGAAAGACAATTTTCAAACTACAATAATATTTTTTCCACAACATTTTTCTTATTTGTTCACTTAAGTTTCCCTTCCATGAATATCTTGTCACCTGATCTTGTTGTGTATTTCGCCCCACCCCCCATGGCTTTTCTTATGGTAGGTCCCTAAAAGTTCCCTACAATTTCGATATGTGCCATCATAAGTAGAGTAAAAGTTGGTTTTCACTAGCGACGGAGTCAAGTCGGAGTCATTATCAGAACGTAAAACTTTTACGATCTAGTGAAACAGCGTTTGGATTCAACTTACGAGTTTATGGTTTACGATTCAGTTTCAGTTAGTTTATTTATTCGCCAGAAAAAAAAATGTAGAGAGGCAGCTGCCTTTATAGCAGACGCTCTAGGGATCTGGAGTTAGTATCCTCATATACGAGAGTGCCTAATAGCGGGATCGGAGTTTATTTCAGTCAAACATCTGTAATTTATTATTGCCTAGGATTTAGCTGCTGTCCGTATCATCGGGGTGTCCGTGATATTAACGGGTGTCCACAAGGCGAGAGTTGACTATATTACAAAAATGTTAGTTAAAGATTAAAGAGACGTAAATTGTAAGAATAATAAATCAAATGATATGTGTGGAGAGAAGAACACAGAAAAAAAATCTGAGTTCCAGATGGGAATTGAACCCACGACCTTCCGTATACATTAGTCGGATGCTCTAACCACTGAGCAACTGAGACCTCAGTGGTAAGCAAGTTAATTCTGTAAATTGTAAGTAAAAGAATTTAAAGTTTGTTTTTCTGGCGAGGAAGCTCAGATTGAAACCCTGGGGCTTATTAGATATTGGAAACGTTCCTATTCTTCTGACTCCGATTCCGTCGAGTTAATGATTCCGCTTTCGACTCAGATTTTTGACTTTCACTACGATAAGCGCTCTTACGACTCCGACTCTGACTTCGTCGCTAGTGAAAACCAGCCTAAGGTTCTTAAGTTGCTCAAATCAGAGCTTGAATGTCAGGTGTAAAACACTGGCAGGTGGAGAGATCAATATTTTGGTTATCCTCTTGACAAGAGTCTTTAAAAGATTGTGAGCAGCTGCATCCGCAATTCGTGTAGTCCCATGTCATGCCATAACCAGTGCAGCTAGAAGGTGTCTCAGCACATTCGCAGTCGCAGGTAGCTGCGTTCCTACGCTGATTTGGCGCGCACGCACTTAGGTCAGACCTGCATTTACAAGAGCACGAGTCGACGATCCACTCTTGTTTGTCGGGATGGCAGTCACTTGAGCTCTTGATACAGTCACAAGAGCAGTGTGTGTGATTGTACATGGTGACGTTCGTCCTGCGGAGAGAACTACCAATCTTCCACACGTTGACCAAAATTTGGGTCTTTGCCCTGACAGTACAGTGATGATAATTCTGTTTGGTGGGGCATCCCCCACTGCAGCGATGCAGGGTGATGAAGGAAGGACGGTTTAAATATTCTGGATCCTTTGGAACTTTGATTGCAGCTGGCCTTGGACGACAAGGAGTTTCCCTTAGCTTTTTGGGGTTTGTATCTGTTAATCAATCAAATTGGTCATTAACGGTCAGTCGAATATAAACTTACGGTAGCGATGAATCTGTCATCAGATCAAGGGTGGAGCAGTGGTGAGAGCACTTGCCTCCCACCAATGTGGCCCGGGTACAACGCAACCGTTTTTGTCTCGTCCCTCAACGCTCCTCCCCAGCAAACAGCGAAGGGAGGAGCGTTGCGTGACGAGACAAAAACGGTTGCGAGGGAGGCTAATTGGCTCCAACATAGCCTGATAGCAAGCTCTTCATGTATGGGGAGCGAAGCCAGCTGCGAGACTCTCTTTTCGCGTGCTGCTCTCACGTGACTTCTCGCGTGACTTCTCGCGACTCCCCCAAATGGAGAGCTTGCTCCAACAGGCATGCTATTTAACAATTATTCCTCGAGCCCGAATGGACTCTGAGTCAATAGCCCATGAGGCCGAAGGCCGAATGGGCTATTGACTCACTGGCCAAGAGGTTGAGAGGAATAATTGTTTTAGTAAAATTCAACAAGTTGGTCAAAAATATCGAGAAAAAAAATTAGCTAGTTAAAGCTAGACTTTAATCTTTTTTTGCCGCCAAAAAGCCCGCGCTTTTCTCTACTAGTGGGCTATAGATATAGCCTAGTAGTAGCTAAACCAATCAGAACGCAGCACTGATAATAGACCACCAGCTGGATTTTATTAAATCCGGATACGTTTTGCCTCTGAACCCACCAATCCACGAGCGCAGTCACGAGTGGTGTCTCCTTTCCTATGCAAGGTCGTGCTCCCACCATACAACAGTACAAACGTCTGTAAAATTTTGCGACTTTGTGGAACAATATCTTCGCTACCTGTTTACGTATTACGTTTAAACTTGCTTTGTAATTCAAGGCGCTCTTTCCAGGAGTATAAATGGATATTCGCTACCTGGTCTTTATCAAAACCTAAAAGGGGCTATTTCTGGAGCTCTTACCTACTGATATATTAACACCTCCTGAATGCTCTGGAACATCACTTATATTAAAACCATGTGGCCTTATACACCCCAGTCTATACGCCGACTGTCTCTCCTCACCTATATTTCGACCGGAAACACCGGCCTTCCTGAGGGTGAATGGCCTGAAAACGCGTTTCACGACTTTATAAACATTTAAAATTCAAATACAAGTCACACGCTACATAGAATAACGACTTAAAGATCGACACTGGCGCGCGCTAATAACACTGAAACCGCGCTCACCTTTCGATACAACAGTTACTCCGTACTCGGGCGCGCTTGTTCTGGCTGTAAAAGAAATCATTGTCATTAAAACCATGTAGCCTCCGTAGCTAGCGGTATTGTGTAGTAGTCGAGTGAGATTTGGCGGCGGAGCCGTTTTAATATAGTCGAGTGAGATTTGACAGCGGAGCGGCGATAAATACCGCCTGCCAGAGAACCATGATTTTTCAAATGCCGCCCACTTTTGATCGCAATTATAGCCAGTCAAAGAAAAACCTGCAATTTGAAACTTCCGATTATTTTCGCGCGAGACAGTTTCGAAATAAGCGTTCACAGACTAAGCACGACTCCTAAGCTCGTGATAATGTGAAACGTGACCTTGCGAGTTTGCTTGAACAGAGGGTTTTTTTATTTTCTCGGCTCTCGCGCGAAGGTTACTAGCACTACACAGTGCATGTATCATTCTAAACTTTGAATGAGTAAATCTTTTTTTGCAACACCAGGTTTAACATTAAAAGGTCATGAAGGTGGTTTGTTACATGCATACTGAGTAACCATTTCCGGTGGTTTATTCTTCTGTAGGTGTTCCTGATAGGATTTGATCTCAGATGCAGTTGTATAGTGTTTTCATTTTCTTTTATCTTTGTTTCGTACGGCTAAATAAAGACAATTCCAGCGGTGTGAAGTTTAAAGACGCCATTTCGGCAATTTGGTCATCAATTATGCTCTTTTTAAAGCGGAAATCACAATCACTTTACATGTACGTCTTTTTCAGTTTGCCATCTGCTCCCTAGCCTCCCACGCAGGCGTTTTTAGGGGAGCTAAAAACGCCTGCGTGGGAGGCTATCTGCTCCCTAAATTGGGAAATATATGCGAAGGCTCATCTGACATGATTGACATACGTATGGCCCTCGACCAATCCGTTTCCCCGCACACTGGTGTGCGGACTATTCAGAATACCGGGGTTTTCTGGCAGGCGGTATTTCAACCGCCTCGTCCCTACTCCCTTTTTTTGGAACACGGCTCCACCGCCAAAACTTTAATCTCGCACCCACACAATACCGCCAGCTACGCAGGCTAAAACCATGTGGCCTTATACACCCCAGTCTATACGCCCACTGTCTCTCCTCACCTATATTTCGACCGGAAACACCGGCCTTCCCGAGGGCGAATGATATAAACATTTAAAATTCAAATACAAGTCACACGCTACATAGAATAACGGCTTAAAGAACGACACTGGCGCGCGCTAATAACACTGAAACCGCGCTCACCTGTCGATCCAACAGTTACTCCGTACTAATAGATAGATATGGGCTAGTCAAGGGAGCTAAGCCTTATTAGTTATATATCAAATAATTAACACATGTGCAGTAGAAAATACCAACAACAAAATTTATGAAAAGCAAAAATGAGTGCAAGCATGGAAGTATCAGAAGCAGAAAATTCACCTCAAGATGCAGTTTTAGATATGACTTTGATCTTTACTATTTTAAGTATTTTCACTGTTGTGTGCATATTTGCAATTTTCTAGTATGTAGAAGTGTGGGGAGTAAAGGGAGAGGATTTTTCATGGTTAGGGTTACCTCAATAAAACACATCTGTAATATGAAACATCTTGTACCACACTGCTGTTTTGGCTCATCTAATTCTTAATTTTAGAATTATAAGGGGCATCTTGGATTCAAGAGCCTCCGTATTACAAAATTCTGCCTACTAAGGCATCACATACATTTAATAGATGTCATTTCTAGAGTTTGGGTCTTTAGTTTTATATCATCTAGTCAAAAATGGAAACATACAATTTCATAGCCCCGGGTGGGATATCTTTGAAATTTTATCACCCGCAGAATTAGGGCACTGCACCTGGTCTGGACACTGGTGGTTAGGATAGGGTATCTCTGAAAAGTAATCACTGGCAGAATCACTGCACTAAGGTTGTACATCTCTGAACAACAGGGCGTTCCTGAACCATAACTGACGAGAAATCGTATTAATGCAAGGAGATTGTCAGAAGAACTGCAGTTATGACTATATAAACAGACTAGCATTTAGAATTTTTTTCACAGCGTTTTATTCAAATCTAAAGCGTCGGACGTTTTGTACTCGCTCCCAACTTACGTGAAGAGATTTTTTTTTCCCAGTTATCCAGTGTTTTAATAGAGGAGTTTTGCAGCTGTTACACAAAACCCCATCGAAGCTTGACGTGTCAGCGCACAAGCCAAAACACGAAACATAATCACTCATGGACCACAAACCGCGCAAAATTGTGAATGATCTGCGCCTTATTAGCCTTGAGACCAATCTCGCATATTACAAAAATGACTTTGTCTTATCTGCACTCCACAAAGATAGAACAGATGACTAAGACGATGGTCGACGATGGTAATTTTTAAAAGAGGCGCCATTTTTCTTTGCTGCATTCGCTGCGATCCAATACCACCACACACTTCCGTCCAGCGGCTCGCGCATACTCGCAACGTTACCACTTGCTGTTACACAAAACCTAACACTACACTCCAATAAATTTTCTAATTTAAGCAATTGGAAAGAAGAAGCCTGAAAAAAATCAGGGCTTTAACGGGATTCGAACCCGTGACCTCCGCGTTGCCGGTGCGTTGCTCTACCAACTGAGCTATGAAGCCACACATTGGGAGCGAGGTCAATTTATTGAGTTATTATCTCCTTTGAGGAGTGAAATGATGTTAAGTATATGAAATAATTCATTTTTGAACTGCGGTTGTAGATGAGAGTGAAGAATGATCATCGCAGTAAATTTTTCAATTGCTTAAATTTGAAAATTTACTGCGATGATCACTCTCATCTACAACTGCAGTTCAAAAATGAATTATTTCATATACCTCACATCACTACACTCCAATACGTCCATCGCGAAAGCAACCACCCACCCACTATAAAAAAAACATACCAGCAACACATCCGCCTCCACTAGTAAACTATACTCCTACAACACGTCAATAGGAAATCCAAAATTCAATGTTTCGGACGCCAGTAGACGGCTTTTTTCCCGACTTTTTAAGGGCTCAAAACATGGTTGGAGTTATCGAGGGTAAATTTATATAGAAAATGACCTGAGGGGAAACGAAAATTGGTTCGAGTTAACGGGAGTTCGAGTTATCGAGGGTTCGAGTTACCGAGGGTAAAATTACAGTGAATGTACGACGGAAATCCAGGGGAAATCGATTTTGGTTCGAGTTATGCACCTATCAATGTAATGCCGGCGGGGGGGAGGCAGGGTATCGGGTGGGGATTTGACTTTTTTCAAAAATTTGAATTCAAATTCCTTGCCCACGGGCAAATCATTCCAGTCAAATGCAACCAAATTTCCCCACCCCAGGCTGCACATTGCTGTCAATCCCAAGGCAGAACACAAGAAAGGCACAACAAAAATATCTCCAAATAAAACTCTGCAATCGCTTTTATAAACGTTGCTGCATCGCCATAGATACATGTCCCCGTTACAGCTACAATTATACGTTTTAGCCATAATACATGTTACACTGCGTAGAATACATAAACCTATAGAAGAAAGTCCACATTTTGTAAGTTTAAATATACCGTTCTTAGTAAAGGGTACAAAGAAAGTCAGTTTTATAAGTTTACTGTGATTGTAGCTAATGAACCATACACTAATCAATTGTACTTGCAAAAATCGACTTGGTTTCTCTTTACTTCCAATTACTTTGATACCACAGTATTTTAAGAGGTTCAATTGATCAAAAACATGCTAAAACAAACGAAATTTGAAGACAAAACAGTGAAATCCACTCAGCCTTCGCTTGTTCTCATTGGCCTCCATGACTTCCTGATCTTTTCAAACCATACGTCGCATGCATGAAGCGTGGAAGAGGGAAAAACATGTTCGGTCTCAGTCTTTTTCGTCCGAGTCGGCAGTCAAATATCTCCACATCGGGCGAAGAAAGATTGAAATATCCCCTCCCCTGGGAGAACAAGATCAGTCAAATGCCCTACCCCAGGGCCAACAAAGGCAATCAAATCCCCACCTCATGCCCTGCCTCCCCCCCCACCCCGCCGGCTTTACATTGATAGGTGCATTAGCGCGAGGTTCGAATAAGCGAGGGTTCGAGTTATCGGGAGTCGACTGTATAATGGGGTAGGGGTTCTGAGAGGCCAGCGGTACATACCCAGCAAACATTAACCCAAGTACTGCGTTTCAGGCCTCTTAGGATGCCAAGAACCGGAAAACAACAGCACCCAGCAAGCTAATTAATTATTCATACAGCAAGAAAATTATAAGACGTTGTATGGAGAAATATTCTTTGCTCACTAAATTAGTCTTCTCTTCTCTCTACTGTCATCTGGGTGAAAAACTGTCACTCAAAAAAAGGTATTAAATGTGATTAAAATGTTCACTGTGTAGTAAAAACTGTTTTTTACCTTACTCTCGGCTATTTTCTTCGAACTCCCGTTAACTCGAACTCCAGATAACTCGAACCTTTTTTCGATTTCCCTTAAAGGTTAGAGTTATCGGGAGTCGACTCTAGTCTATTTTTTGGCCAATTATAGACCCGTTTTAGTCACCTTTTGGAAAATGTAATTTTCGCGATCCCAACTCAGTCACTTTCTATTTATGCATCTACCTTAACAATGTGGTTTCAAGCGGCGGAATGTAATGCGGTCAATGCGAGCTTATTGTTAAATTTAATAAACAACAACTTTCTGATTTTTTAATCGAGAATCTTTCCATTTTGAATCCTTTCTTACCCCCAAAATCCGAAAATTTGCGACCCCATTCTAGTAAATCTATTGAAAATGCGATCCCATTATAGTCACTCCAGTCGTGAAAATGCGACCCCGTCCAGCGGCACAGTCCCATTAGCCTCTTGTAAGGGAGTGCCCTCCCCCGGGATTTCGTGGAACATTTTAGCCTGGGCCAAACCATACAACAGCGCCAACCAGGAGCGCCAACAGAAGATGTAACTTGTGCCTCTTGGAGAAATTCATTATAATCCGTCAACCAGAACGTTCCACGCTGAACAAACGAAACGAACTCGTGTCCTCATGCCGACACAGAAACAAAGCGCTATTACGTTACAACTAGCAATACCCTAGGGGCAGTACCCTAGGGATTACTCTAATTTTATATATTCCTTGCTCGTGAATATTCTTTCCATTAAAGTCTCCTGATGAGTGAGTGTAACAGGTCACGAAACATCGTTGTAGAGACAATGTTGTAGCATTTTTTTTCTCTTTAGCAACCCTTGTATATATACAAGGAGCCTGGTGAGGGCACCACGATGGGTGGTTGTGGCCCCTGCAATAAACCGAAATGCAGCTGATGCACACGCATAAATAAAACGTCAACCTTCACAGGCACCCAGGAAGGTAAGATTTTTTCCCAAAAAATATCCATTTATGGATGGGATTCAACGCAACACTCTGCATGGTAGAAACTGTTTCCCAATCCTTTGCTGTTGAAACCGTTGATAATCCAGCATAATTCGCGGTATCTTATATTGTATCCGAAATTGGTGATGAATTCCACTATTTATTGAAATGTACCCACTCATCACTTTCTCATATAAGGGGTATCTTCTTGGAGAGCCTATACTAGATAAACAGTAATTTTACGAATATGTCTTGCAAGGCACTATTTTCATATATCATGTCTATGTGCGATGAAAACATCAGAAATCTCAGTGCCTCTTATATTGAAAATATTCTAAATTCTTATGCATCCGAACTACCAATTAAACTTTCTTAACATACGGGTAGCGTAGAAGCCGTACATAGCCGAGTAATTTTTCTTTTATGATAATATTCAATTGTTCCTTTCTTTCTTAATTTTTCTTTTTAGGTAATATTCAACTGTTCCTTTCTTTCTTACTTAACTTTTATTTTACTTTTTTCATTTGTCATTGTTTTGGTACTGAAATCTTCAAGTCGAAGATAAAGTCAATAAAGTTGTTGTTTTTGTTGTAAAGAAATACTGAACATTATAAACAACATTTATCTTGGACAATGCTTTTTAAAGTAACCAGTGAGGGCGTCAATAAAATAAAATAATACTTAGATTTAGCCAGGGCTAAAAGCGTAGCTCCAAAACTTGTAAATTATCTACAAATCAGTTAACTGGAGAGATCCATATGACTTTAAAGGGTGAAGCTGGCTGATTTTAGAGAAAAAAAATAATTTGCAAACAGTGCAAGCATGAAACAAGATCTAAAATCTTACATCGAGTTAATAGTCTTGTAAACCTAAAAAATTATACCAATCACCTTTGATCACGGTAGATTATATTAGGTGAAGAAAACAAAATTTATTCTCCCCAAGCAAAATAACCTATTTGCCCACCTACACCACTGTTATTTTATAAGGATAATTGGACAGTCCCGAAATATAATTTTATGCCACAAAGGTCGTTAAAACACGATGCTCCTCGGTAGCAGCTAATTTACACGTTCTGACTACTCGGTTTTTTCTCTCTGTCTAAAGGAAAGGCCAAAAAGAAAAATTACACCGGATTTTTTTTGTGTGTGGCTCGCGACGCGTTTACTTTACAAACCGGCTCTGTGTCATTCCAGCTATCCCTGCGTCACACCAAACCCCACTAACCGGAATTATATATCTTTCGTGAGATTATTTTACTTCATCTACCTACCTGCGCAACTAACTTCAATCCCTTTAGCGAACCCATCAATTATTTTCTTGGCTGTTTCCTGCTCCTTCGTTATCTCTTCCTTTTTCTGCATTATATTATCGGCGTAATCTGCCGAAAAAGTAAGAAGCAAAGAAACACACGAGTTATACTCAATACACTTGCAATCTTACACGGCATTAAAGAATTACCGTGACTTTTGTTTGTAACGTCCCTATCAAAATCCCATTCACCATCCCTTATCAAAACATCAAAGCACTCTGAACAAAATAAAGGAGAATGAGTTCCTATTTTAAAACTTACGTGGGATAATTCCATAAAAACAGCACCGAGAAAACTCCAAAAACAGCCCTGTTTGCATTGAACATCTCCTCTCAGCTGTTTACAGGCCTCAACCATCACCCAGGTCCGCAGGTTCGTTAACATGAACATAAGTGGCATTCGCTTTTCACAATACTTTTTTCATCCCAAGGTAGGGCAGTGAAACGGCTGGTACATCTAGTGGGTGGGAGTACATGGGGATTAGGGTTACCTTGAAGATTTCGATCCTGTTTTGCCTTTATCAACATTGCGAACATCATAATAAGGACAGTAATCACCCTTCCCATAACATTCATCTTTGAATCTGGGAAAAAAGACAAATGACACTAGTTAACACAACATCATCTTCTTCAATCTACGTTAAGACTCGAAAAAAAGTTCTTAAAGTCACACAGCTGAGCAACAAGTGACAGCAAACTCGTTCGAGAGAGCACGTGATTTACAAGAGTTTAATGAAAACTATAACTACAAAGGATCTAATGTTTCTAATGCTTAAAATATATTTATAAGTAAAAACTGTTTTTAAAAAACGATTCTGAATTAAACCACTGAACATTCAGAAAAAGTTTACAAACCCTGTTGCGAAGAATAAAAAATTAACTACAAATATTAGATAAAAAAGTCAAAAGCTAGTATGAAGAATTTAAGTTTTTGTAGAGCATTTTTTAATTTTTTAAGATTACCAGAATTTCTAATTTATAACATTAGTTTATTCTACTGTTTACTAGCTATTGAAAGAGGCCCTTTATCCTTAGATTGTAACATATACATTTTTAAAATTAAAAGAAGAAGAAAATCGGCATTCATGAGAGATTCTTGTTCACGAAGAACTTGGTCCATAGCTAGTAAACAGTAGAATAAACTAATGTTATAAATTAGAAATTCTGGTAATCTTAAAGAATTAAAAAATGCTCTACAAAAACTTAAATTCTTCATACTAGCTTTAGAACAAGACATTTGATGGGTCTCGGTGACAGGTGCCGCGAAAACAAAACTCGTTTTGTGGGTTCCTTGAGCACCCATGTACGCTCGTATCAACCTGAAAAGATCGACTGATGTTTTGCTCACTTTACAGATCGCGCCAAAAAAACCCATACAAAGTTTCAATTGTGTTCCTTGTTGGATCTGTCAGGCTTATCATAGTAAAGAGGTTGTTACGCAGTTTATCATTGTAGTAAAGCTTTCTTCTTATAAATTTTTCCCTAAGATTTATGACTTTGCATATTTACTGCCGTAAAATACTCAACTAGTAATAGTTGACACTACAGCGGCCTCCGTTCTGTATATTGTCGGTCAATAGTATTCTTGCTCGTTGTGTAGCTCTTTGAAATATACCGACTCATAATGAAGATTTTCACACATATTCCATACAATAGGTGAGATAAATACAGGAAACGCAAGGTTCCATGCACAGTTTCAGCTCGATTTACACAGCTTTGATCAAAACATTCTCAGTTTCGAGAATAGTTTATTCTAAACCATAAGAAAAGATTTAATTAGAAGTTGAATTTTTAATTCGCTATTTCTCTTTCACTTTTTACATTCAGTTCATTTTTAATTATTTACCGGAAAGTAAACCTTAGAAATTAAAAGGACGTTTGATCGATTCACGCTCGCGCATTCTAGTCTTATTTGAAACTTTATAACGGATGGACATATGTGAGCAGGGAATAAGTCAGCACAATTTGATTGTCGGCGAATTTCTGTAATCGTCCATCGTTCTGCTAGTGATAAGCTAGCCGTTGTTCACTCGTCTTGCTTGTTTGGGGCTGAGTCTTATTCCGGTCAAAGAGAGAGAAATTTTCTACCAAGGTTTTCAATATAAATCAAAGATTTGTGAACTCATGTCTGGCAAACTCTCCAAGTCTTTATATATACATTGTTAAACGCACCTTATAGCCTCATCTGCGCTTAACGAGTGTCTTTTGGTCCATAACTTTCAAAACAACTGCTCCACAGAATGTCACTGCGTAACGCAAAAGGATATCGAAGTATGACTGCACGATAAATGCCAAAATCTACCTGAGCAGTCCCTTCGGGATTTTCTGTCTTTACGTCATCCTAACCATTTCGTACTTGCGGGCGCAAACAATAGAAGTTATCATTACCTACCGATTCCTCGCGGCCCGTGTTCAAGCAAATCGAGATTTATTCTATATTGACTGTGTGACTGTACACGTGTATTTGAACTGTAAGTACTTTCCGTAATATACGCGCGAGTTACTAGAGTGCCTCCTCGAGATTTCGCCTTTTGGGCGAAATCCCTGCGGGGGAAATAAAACGAGTATAAAATCTTTCCACAAAAATGCATTTTTTACCTTAATGTAGTATCTTTTCGAGCGGGAGTATATTTCTAATTAGAATGTCTGACAGCCGGCTTCCCGAGGCCAATGCTTCCTTTCCTTTCAATACAATACAAAGATCTTAGAGTTAAAACTAAAACCCGTTGCGTGCGTCCTTTCTTTTAGGTATGGCTACATTAGTTAACAAAATACCTCTAAAAATATGATTTTCCTTATTTTTCTCCTGAGCTTTTGGCTGTTAAATCAGTTTGGACGAAGAACTAATGTTTTCTGAAAGAGCGGAAGCCAAATATATATTGCAGCTGTGGTTCATGATCATTATATTGATCTTTAAACTGTAGGGAAAAAAAAATGCCAGACAGTTTCTTTTAAGTTAAATATTAGACAAATTTCATATATGAGCACTGTCACTCATTTTGTCTTAACAATTAATTTTCCATCCTTCGAAAACTATCTTTCATAATTTGAATTATTATTAGCCTCTGAGACCTTCTGTCCGAGGGATCTCTCCAATTTTGATGCACAAAAAAGTTTGTTTTCCAACTCAGCTGTTGAGAATTATAGATGAAGAAAAATTTCGTCTCAAAATAAGAAGTTAACAACTGGGCAGGTGCTTTTTGTTAAAAGGTTTTAAACTAAGGCTTGTCAAAAGTACATGAAAATTAATTTTTTGGCCGTAAAATTTGTCTATGCGTTTTTGAAAACATACCTTAAACGTTGAGCAAGTTTGAAACCTCTTGTGAAAAATTGCTGGATCTGCCTATGGTTCAAATTCGTGAGCTTTTACTTGTTTCTAAAAATCATAGCACCATGTAGAGGTTGGTTGTGTCATGGTTCATCTTGTTTTTTCAGGCTCATGTGGTTTCATAGATAGCAAACTTTTAGGGGGTTTCTGAAACTAGCCTTCCACGCTAGATTCTTAGGGGTTCGTCACGCGTTCCTGCCCCACACGTTTACGTGGGAGGATACTCTGGGAGCAAAAGAGAACTAGAGCTAGGGAAGAGAGAGCTTGGGGCTTGCAGTCATGTCTTAGGCACCAGTCGCCTGTGCCGCCCGCCCCCGTGGTTCCTTGTCGACTGACTTGTCACTTAGCGCTAAGCGGAAACGAGTTCCGGATGTAAACAGTAAAACTTCGAAAGTCCAGACGATCTGGTAAAATAAATTTCCTGTATTTACTCGTTTTAATTTTCATGGAAAAAAAATACTTCTTACATCTAACTTTCCAAACTACAGTATTTTGTTAATTCCTCCTCAGCCAATTGACGAACGTACTCTACAGGATTCGATACCCTTGCGTCCTCCCGCTGTATACGGACTATTGTTTTACCAATCGAATGAATAAAACAACGAAAAAATGAATGAACGAACGAATGAGCTTCGGAAATATGAATTGAAATTTTTTCAAGAACATGAGCAATATTTCATATGGTAATGAATTGAACAGGAGAAAGGCGACTTGCTAATTCTGAACCGAAAAGTAATTTTTGGCGTATTTTATTATTATTATTATTATTTCATTTTTCAATATAATCTAAGGAGATAAGTCTGAAAATACCAGTCTGAAATAAAACCTTACCTGGCGTATTTTTTTCTTTCTCTCTAATTTTGATGCACAAAAAAGTTTGTTTTCCAACTCAGCTGTTGAGAACTGGGCAGGTGCTTTTTGTTAAAAGGTTTTAAACTAAGGCTTGTCAAAAGTACATGAAAATTAATTTTTTGGAACCACGGGGGCGGGCGGCACAGGCGACTGGTGCCTAAGACATGACTGCAAGCCCCAAGCTCTCTCTTCCCTCTATTCTCTTTTGCTCCCAGAGTATCCTCCCACGTAAACGTGTGGGGCAGGAACGCGTGACGAACCCCTAAGAATCTAGCGTGGAAGGCTAGTTTCAGAAACCCCCTAAAAGTTTGCTATCTATGAAACCACATGAGCCTGAAAAAACAAGATGAACCATGACACAACCAACCTCTACATTAAACGTCTCAATTTACGTTTCATTAAAAATCCTCCTGTCATGTAGAGAACCGCAAGCGGCATGCAAATTATTTTCTCATTAGATAATTATACAGATGATGTATGTTTTTAAGGGCTTCGTCATCTAGATTGATATGTAGATGGATCAGTTTTCTATAAGGTTATATGTTTCATGTTTCTCGTTTGGAGGAAAGAATCGCTTGTTATCTTTCTTTTTGAAAGCATGCCTCAAAAAAGCCCAGAATATCCCGACTAGTTCAATCGATAAAACCGATAATCGATAACAATTGATAAAATCGATAAAAATTAGTTAATTGTATCGGAAATCGATAAAAATCGATTAAGGGATACGTTGTGAGTAATCGATAATTATCGATTTTTAAATTTTTGTTATCGATTTTATCGAACTTATCAAATTTATCGGCGCAATACGTTTCCACGTATTTAAGGGCAGCGAAGCATCAGAACTTCCCGAAAACCAGTCTAACAAAAACTTACTCTCGTAGGGTAAGTTTAAAGATTTATTTTACAAATCAAATTAATAGTGAACAAATACGTAACATGATCGGTATTATACTTCACATGATTCGGCGGAGAAACGAAAGGTAACAACTTCTTCTTGCATTTTACTTAGAAACTATTCAAGTTAAACACCGTTAAGACATTGTACGACGTTAGTACAGTGGACGTACAATAGGCCACTTGCATTAAGAGGTCACGTGACCAATGCTTCCTTTAAACAGTGAGTTGGAATCTTGCTGATGCCAAAAATTGTTAGAGCACACAAAAATTATCTTACACCCGAAATTTGAGAGGAAACGCATTTTAGGGAGATATTTAATGGCACTTTGATTTTTCAGCGAAGTAGTATGATTTGTATTGGCCGCCATGTTGGAGGGCATGCTTTTGCCCTCCAACATGGCGGACAAAACTACTTCTTGCTTATATCTTGTTCAAAGTTTCATAGTTATGCTCAGATGTGCTGTAAACGTTATCACATGATCTTTTCAACATTTTCCTTGAAATTTAAGTGCAAAATTTGTGTTCAGAGAGAGGTAATTCATAATTTTAAAAATCACATTTTGGTCACGTGACCATTTACGAACTTATTCATTTTAAGAAAATGGTGCGGGTTTGAAAAACCAAATCACTATTACTTTGTTTGAGAAATGACTCACTAATCGTTTTTCGAAGGCAGAATCATGTAACGTTCATTTTCATAAAAACGATGTCACATGCCTCTTAGTGCAAATGGCCTATTCCGGGCTATGAGCGAGCGAGAAGGTCTTAAGACGCTCAGATAAAACAGATGTAAGCCCCTTATTAAACGCATCGGCAAAAACACAGCTTGTTTTTTAAACGCTGTCTCGGAAGAACCGATATTTTTAATTTGTCAACAATACACGGTCCTTAATGAAAACGATAAAATCGATAAATCGATAAATTCAATACCTTAAAAGAGCGGCGATGGTTGTGAGTATCGATTTCTATTGATTGATCTATAAAATCGATAACGTCTAAATTTGAATCATCAATAGTTATTGATTTATCGAACGGTTTTCCGATATCGGTTTTTATCGATTGAACTAGTCGGGAGAATATTCGCACAAAATAAAACTGGCTATCGTCAGCTTTCTGGTTTCTACTGTGAGAATTTTCATAAGGGGGTTGCAGTGTCTGGTTTGGCCTTATCGTCAAGCTCAGACCCATGACCTTACTTCCCATATGGGTTGGAGAGGCCTCCTTGTCAATTCCTTGTGGTAGGAGGGTGCTGCAAAAGTGTGATATGGTCAGTTAAGTAAAAAGACTCCAGTATAAAATAAAAAGTAATTAAAATAACAATAATATTAATCGATCATATTTTATTGATAACAATGCTAACTATTAAAATCCTATTTACAATTAATGCACTTAAAAAAACTATTTCGTCAAAACACTATTTACAATTCCTTTTGTTTAAAAACACTTAGTTTTGATTAGAAAAAATTATTTTAATTAAAAAAATTTATTCGAATTAAAAACATTTCATTTCCAATCCATTTCAATCCTAGCCTCCCCGCAGACGTCCTTTGGGGTTCGTTTGTCACGCATTCATTTCTCCCCCACGGTCCGTGGGGGAGAAATCAATGCGTGACAAACGAACCCCAAAGGACGTCTGCGGGGAGGCTATTTCAATCCATTTCCATTTAAAAACATAATAATAACAACTTCGTCCTCAGGGCACTTTTCCCTGGCTTTGGATGTGGGGCGCCCCACCTCCAAAGCCAGGGAAAAGCGCCCTGAGGACGAGGTTGTAATAATAATAATTATTATAATTATAATTATAATAAATAAATAAATAAATAGAGTAACTAGGCTAGTTAATAATGACAAGAAAATTAAAGTATGGAGAAAAGAAATCAACAGTCCAGAAAAATGGATGTAACATGTGTTAAAAAACAAAATAAGAAAATAAGAAAAGTAATGATAATAATTAAAAGAACGTAAGAAATAATAATAATAATAATAATAATAATAAACTCAAATTTAACGGTCGTCCTTTCTGTTTGTGCCGTGTGGCTGCATGGTTTTAGCTTTCTCTATATAGAATTGTTCGCAAGCTCTACGTACAGATGCTCTGTTACTGTTGATAAGTTCAAGTGGAACGAATTCTACATCTGTGAGTTTGTGTCTTCTAAAATTGAAATGCTCTAGTAATGCGTCGTCGGTCTTATGTTGAATAGCTCTTCGGTGTTCTCCAAATCTGTGTCGTAATGCGCGTTTTCGTCTGTCCGATAGTTTATTCCTCTTGGCTTTTTTATTTTAAATTTCAAATTTTTACTTTCGTCAAATCTCCAACTGTACCGCTTTTAAGCAATATTTATAATCTGTAACGACTTTCCGTTTCTTCAATATATCCCTCGAAGAAGAACGCCTAGTGTCCGTTCGAAACATCGGAAACACTCAAATCTTTTTTCTTCACGGTTTTGTTATTACAGTTCCTTGGTCTTTGTTAAGACAGCACAATTTGGATACCGTCATAATTATAAAAGTCTCTATGGTCTCTGAAGAATCAATTCACCATTCATGCTAAATTACTTTTTAATAAATGTTTCAGGCCGGTCGTCAGTCCGGGATAGTTATCAAATTTGATAACCCAGACCAAAACAAACCAATAGCCAATCGCTGCACAGATTCAAGTTCACGTGACACGCTATCGAGGAAACAATTTTTAATTCAATATGGCGTCCTGAGGCCTAACCAGACCATTTAATTTGTGATTGTACATTTTAAATTGTTCGAATAAAGAGGAACAAATTCGGACTACTATGAAATTTGGAATTAAAAATTATTTTCCGTTTATTTCTTCAGAGCTCCTTTGCTAGTTTTTCACTTATTTCCGGGCTCCGGTTCTTCTTCACACAAGCACCCAGCGAATATGACATGATACAATGAAACAATGAAAGTAGTAAGGAATATTCTCTAGCAAACGGTTTTTATTTAATCATTTTAAAACAAAATCATTCTTAATCTAAATCATTTTCAGTCTTTGTCAGTGTCTTGCTTTCTTGGTGGACGGCGAAGCTTCCAGGTTTTCAGCGCTTGTACATGTCTCTAATACGGGTCCAACAATCTGTTAAAAAGTAATATTTGACAGAGTTTATTTCCTGAAGTGTTGCTACCTTACTTGTAAATCGTTCTTAGCTAAAAAAACAACTCTGGTCCCTGAGGGGAAATTATTGGGAGGCTGAAATTGTAGCGCATAAATTTGCAGCGCCAAGCCCCGTGAATACTGGCTTGGCTTTGAATGACTGAAGCTTCTCGCAACAATTATGTAAGCTACATATAGGAAGTTGAACAAGAAACAGACTACCACGCACTCAACGTACCTCCACGACCATATCTGCTCCTTCCTCTCCCATTTCTGAAACAACTAGCGACAGCCTTCTCTCCACTTCTCCAATATACTCTTCATTACATTCGATTTTCCAAGTACAGGGAATAAAGGCTCCACCGCCGTGCCTGACATTTTTTTCCCACTTTTGATGTACCGGTGTCCTCTTTGTTGTTGTTGGCTTCCCAGTTATCATCCTGACAAAAATATACAGAAAGTAATAATTCGTGTAAGACGAACCCTCGCACTTAATTTCAGATTGGAAATATTACCACTGATATGTTCTTCATGATATGAACGCTGTGCTAATTATTACAATTCAAGTTGCTGCATTGGTAATCATGGCATTTCCGGTACTCTAATGCTCCAGTTACATACCCTTCAATTTTGTTGATTTTGCCGCAATCCAGCAAATGTTTGATTTCTCTGTTAAGAAAGTATTGAACACGGCCAATCTGCCTTCCCGCAACTTCTCTTAAAGTATATGTCTTCTTAGTGCTAGTGGATACCATTACTACATCTTGGAGTGTCGATGGCATATCAGCTACTTCTGGTAAAACGCATCGTAGCGCAAATGGATCTTCGTTCCCACTTTCAGGGTAAACATTCACCGGAGTGCCTTCTGGTCCCTTTATTTTAAATTCGTGGTAGCTATGGAATATAAAACACAACGAGGCGAGCTGAGGAGAAAGCTTTATAAACGCTTATCTAGTGTTGTGGAAGCGCACATGGTTATGATGGTTCGTCACCATGAATCTGGGCATTCATCAAACACAACCCGTAAAATAGAATATACATGAAATAACAAGGGATTGTACCACTTACCCCTTAATTTTTCCACCTGTGATTCTAAGAACTGATCGGTGTGTACTTGTCATTTCTATTAAGAAGAAGTATCGACCATTTGTCAGTAAAAGCAACGCCGGCGGTACAACATTAAGCTCGATATTGGTACGGTATTCAGAAAGAACTATAGTTTCATAAATTACATCAGAAAAGTGACCTTTACCTCTTTTACTCATTCTGAATGCTCTCACGAAATCGCTTTCCAATGAACAAGGCAGGAATGTTTCACAGAAGGAACCTTCGCGGGAAATTGATGATGAACATGCTTTGTTTAGCACAATAGAAACTGCCATTTCTCGCGTTATTAGCCAGTCACATGCGCCATACGGGTCACCAGCTGTGATTTCGCGCGGGGTGCGCCAAAAAAAATACAGTAAAGACATAGTATCAAAGCCTCTTTGTACATTGTCCGAAGTTCAAAATAAATGGAGGAACCTCAAAGCGCATACGAGAAAGATACAAGGTAACTAATATAACTGCACCTTTCTGAGAGGTACTTTCAGCTTCAATAGGAAGTGATCGTCTTAAGCTTGTTTGTCACTCTCCTTTCAGTGATTGTGTTCCAAACAAAAACAAAAGAAACATCAGGGGAAAGGAAAAGATTTGCTATGTGGACAATCCAGATCAAAGGAAGGTGACATTATCTCGCCGCAAGACAACATTATTTAAGAACGCTTTCAAGCTTCACGTAATGACCAAAGCAGAAGTGTTCTTAATCATCCAACCGTCTAAGCAACACCGGATTGTGTGGGGATCGCCAAGCCTCAAGACAGATTATGAAAGTGGAAAATTGAAACCTATCGTTGGTCAGCAATTCCTTAGTCCTGAGGAAATAGACGGACACAATGGGGAACCAGCAGTTGAGGCTATGACCGAGACTCCAGAGCGCAGAAATAATATGTCTCCTTCTCTTGCAAACGTGCTTGGTCATACTCCAACTAATCATCATCAAATTACACCAACAGAAGGTACAAGAATTCCAGAGCTACAAAGTGTCCCAGCCCCAGTGCGCGAGATTTTGCTCAGGAGACCACGAGCAAGACTTCATTTTGATGAAAGACCAACAATTATCACAGAGCAAACTGAAATAACCTTTATTTCGGATCAAAACGTGGCACTCAACGTCCATGAATAGATATCACGGTGGTCTAAAAGACTAGACACTCAAATGTTTAATGTTCTGTTACCGTTTCATGTACATTGGTCGTGTTGTACGCCTTTCAATCCGACTGCAGTAACAAATTGCAAAACAGCTAACATGAACTACTTACATAGATTAATCAGTTGCTTTACACACATTAAAGATTATCAATTATTAGAGGAAATGTTTGGAGATCAGTGAGGAGAATTTGTTTGATAACACAAGAGATTAAAAACAATAGAACCTTCAATGAAAATAGCACTAAACATAATTTCTCCTGGCTGAAAATTACAAATAAAAAATACTATTTTCAATGTTTTTAGCGCCTAATTCAGGGAATGTGAATAACACAAAACAACTATTTCAATCAAGGCCACACAGTCAATAAGATACATTACTTTTAAATTGACCAATAAAGTCCAAGTGTGGAAACACTGAAAATGGTTACAAATTATTTCTTGTTTATGGTTAAATGGCCTTTATTTAAAACTGGACCTGTCAGTAGCCCCACACATTTTTTTGCTTGCCATGCATCTTCTCCCCAATCAGGAAGATGGATTGCAAGCTCCGCCTGTCAGCCAAAAGAATACACCGACTTCGTTATATACATTATTTACACTGGGCCTATACTAATTTGGTGCCTAACTTGCATTTAATCGAGAAAGTATAGTTACTGTTATTGAAGTGCACAGTAACCATATTACTCACAGAAACTTTACCACTACATGCTCAATTAAATGTATCATTATCTTGATCTTTCACAAATAAAATTTCCTGTTCATTGTCCACAACCTGATTGAGTTCTTCACACACTTCATAGAAGAAAGAGAGGAGGACTTCTTTTTTTAAAGAGGACTGTTTCCTCTTAAGTTCATTCATCTTATTTTGAAGCACATCCTTGATGTCTTCATCCGAAACAAGATTAATTTTCTCCTCTGCTCTCTCGAGAATCTCTGATTTAGTAGCATTATTTATGTCCTCCCCCTGAATTCGGTCTTCTTCAGTTGTATACACAGTTGTTACTCGAACATCAGTTCTTGGCTTTCCTTGCACAAAGTGTTTGAGTAACAACTTTCTTCTGTTTTCCTTCAGAGTGTCATCCATCTCCAGAAGGTGTTTGTCCAGAACTGTACCACTAAGGAAACGTGCTGGTTGGGGCTTCTTACAAAATACCTTTAAAAATTCAGCATTGAAACAAAATCAGGACACATACACATAATGATAAATATAAGTGTATGTTGAGTTTTTTATTTCCAGTTAAACCGTATTTTTCCTTTGTTTCAAACTCATTATCATACATTACCATACATAAAAACAACGGAAAATAAAATTTAACTGGAAATAAAAATTAACTACAACATAATTATATGTAATGTATTAATATATTACACCATATTATTTATGTTTTGTTTCAAACTTTTCTTTGGCTTTTAAATTTTTCAAACCAGTTTCATTCTTATTTTCCATTGTGTGAGATTCATTATCATAATCTCAGACAAAGAAAAATGAAAATGATATTCAAAAAATTTCAAACCACAGAAAAAGTTAAACTACAACATGACTACAAAGGAAAATTTCAGATTTAAATAATAACAAAAAAAACCTAAGCAAACAAGAAGAATTACATTGGAATGTGGCCAGTTGATTTTGTCAGGCCAACATTTAAAGCCTTGATATACTGGCTTCACTAGGAGGGTTTAGGTGGCCAAAATTGATACCAAAGGTACGGTAAGGTAAGGTAAAGTCTGCTTATGAGCCCAGTGGCCCATCAGGCTGCAGCATGAAGCAACTAGGAGTATTTCTACTCCCCCCTGGATGGGATGCTGGTCCATCACAGGTTATCCCCCAACATTACTGTCACTGGTACCCATTTATACCCCGGGGAGGAGAGAGACACTGTGAGAGTAATGTGTCTTGCCTAAGAACACAACACGGATACAGGGGTTTCAATAATAGCCGGGTAGCAGGTAGAACTACCCGCCTGTGACGAAGAAGAAGACCGTTTGATTGGTTTAAAATAAAATACAGCTCAGTACAGGAATTCATGCTAATATGTCCTAAAATTTATTGAAAATGGATCCCTGTTTAATAAAGCAGGGAGCCTCTAATATCGCCCCAGAATGCAGGAAAATGCATCTCCGAGTAATGAATTTCAAAATTTTCCAGTGGAGCATGCCCCCAGACCTCCCCTACTTGGGAGGGCCTTCAGCCCCTCCAATTAAAATATCAATCTACCTGCTTGCTATGTTTCATCTACCCATCTGAAATAAATGTTATTGAAACCCCTGACTGATAAATACCAAAGATAGTCTGTTGTGGCTGTAATGTCTCAGTTTAGTCATTTTCAAATCTTGAGAAAAGTATTATATACCATAAACACTGTAGTCCATCCATAATATAGCTGCATGGATGCAAGCTACTATAACTTGTTACTGACATAAATGTAGGTGAAATCAGCTTACCTCTCTCTTCGAAGTTTGATTCTCCATGCAAGAACTTCTTCCTTGAAGTCATACCTCTTTCTTGACACACCAGCATCTTGCTTTGGATCATTCATCCCAATCAAGCATAACAGCCACTCTCGTACCTACAGAAGGAGAATTAGTTATTACTTATTGTAACTGAAATTTCCACAACAAGTAATGACAGTTACATACTGCTTGTGGCAGAAGCTAATATTTTACAGCTCCATTTCAGAGTTCATTACAGGGTTATACATATAATATGTTGTGGTTCAAATTTTTCTTTGGTTTGAAGTTTCATCTTCGTTTCCCTTTGTCTGAGATTATTAAAATGAATTTCAGACTAAAAAAAAAAAAAATGAAATTGGTCTAGAAGAAATTTCAAACCAAAGAAAAAAACATGTATTAATATCTTATAATTAGCATTTTAGCAAAGGTTTGCTTGTTTCATACACAACCAAATTATTACTCTGTTGAGACAATGCATCATGTTAGATTGAAATTAAATCGATCACATAAATTATATATTCACCTTAAGAGGTAATAGTATATCTATGACAATGCTTACTTTGGTTAACTTGCCAAGATTCCTAAATATTCTCAGCCAGTCAATTGCTGTCATGACACCATGCTGCCAGACTTTTGAATCTTTGTTAACCTCCTCGAGGTTTGCATCCATACACTCTCCTTTGCTAGGATTTCCAGGCGTGCTTATTGATTCAGTCCTGGAGACAAATTCAGCAAGCTCTGGGGAAATGAAGCTCTATCCACACTAAGAATCAAAGAAAATAATAGCACACTCATTGGAACTGCCACAATCTCAAGAAGGGTCTTAAATATTTCGAGGTTACATGTTAGTTTTATTCAAGGAATTATAGAAAAAACTGCCAATGTTTCCATAGAAAACTTATAGAGAAGTTATAAATGATTGCAATAATAATTTTATTATCTAGTTAAGGAGGGAAGTTACTAAGTTTTTTCAACTAACCCAAGCCTAACGTGGTGCAAATATTTTCATATATTTTATACATGGCTCATAAATTCAAACATAAAATACTATTATGCATGCTTTTCTAAAATGAGGAAGATGTCATTCTTGAACACTGAATGTAGTTTGCCTGTCACACAAGAATGCAGCAACCATTAATTTTATTGGCAAAGCATGAAACCTGCTGATCTGGCATGACATTGTACCCATTCCGCATTCAGCGTGTGAGAGTTTTATTTCTTACTTCTTTTGAAAGCTCAGCTAGCAAGAAAACCACTGTACCAATAAAATGTAGCAGTCATTACTAACCTGTCATGCAAGTCTATGAGCGCATATTTGGAAACACCATTTCTATGGAACAGCGGAGCAAAGGCCATATGCCCAGCTCGAATATACTCTGCATTGTTCCTTCTGACACCCACATGAAGTAAATTGATTCCCATTAAGTATGTCCAGGTAGTGTTAAAGATGTACCTGTAGTTGGGCTGGGTCCAACCAACTTTAACTAACCAGTCATACAAAAAGTCATTTACTGACAGGGCTGTCCCAGATGCAAGGCGGCTACGCACATAAGGTACAAGAAGTTCATACCAGAATCCAAGGTGGGCCACTTTCAAAATAGACATTGTTTTGTGATGATCAGAGCATTTTTTGACAAACTTCTGAGCTGCTTCAGAATTAAACCCCAACTCTTTGGCCAGATCACACATGAACACATCCCAGTAAAGGCTAGTGAATGACTTCGCCATGTTCATTTCCAAGTGCAGTTTTCCAATGCGCAATAACACCCAGTCGAACTCTTGAACAAACTTAACCCTGCGGCCCCCTGTGTTCATCAGCACGATGTTCATCTTGCTTTGTTTTCAGAACCTCTGCTTCACAATCACAACACAAATAGACGGTGTCAATCACAGTTCTACTAACCAAATATGGGGATCCATCCATGGTGACACTCAACCATTTGCGTGCATTTGGTTTGTCTGGATGATATCTAGAAATGGAAGCAGCATGTCCTACCCGCCTAAGGACTTCTTTAATGGAATCAAATGAATTGGGGTTAACAAACACTGGGTCGCAAGTTTGCACCTTGATAGGATTTGCTGGATGCCTACTTGGGACATCAGTCCATTCATTGTGAGTTTCCCAGATCTCCTCATTGCTGTAAACAAATGCCTTATCTTCTTCAATTTGGAACCCAAGTGATGTTTCATGGACTCTGTGATGATAAGTGCGGATAGGGGCAACAAGTGCAGTCCCAAGGATGTCAGTGCCATTGGCTTCCCTTTCAGCACTTTTCAAACTGACTCGACACTCTTGATTAATACATTTGCGCTTTGTCTTTGGCATGCTGGTGTTGCATGCAGGGCACACGCGCATCCCTTCTTTAGCCTGCATCTCTGCAACCCTCATGTCAATGTCATCTGTCCAGCCGCCTTCAGAATTTGTCTGCTCTCTCACAACTTTGTGGAGGATGTCATGAATCATTTTCTTATTCTAGAAAACCAAGAAACAACAAAAATGATAATATAAATATAATGTGTATCCTGATTAATAAACTCAGTTTCATACAGATAAGTAACAAATGAAAACATTCTTTATTAATGAGTTACATGTACTTCTTTCTATTACCTCCTTACGTAAGAGCATGACATCGTCATTGTTGGCAGAACAATCTTGGACAAGTTGCATTTCCCTCAGTGGGTCATTTCTGGCCTCTGCTAATCTGTCAGGCCATTTGCTGTTAGCAAAATAATGATTAAATAAATTACTTTGCCAGAATACACAAACTGTAAAAACAATATTAAGATACAGTGCGGTACTTTGTTATAATATAGGCAGAAATTGACTATATATATATGCCACTGGATTAGCAAAAATATAATGATAAATTGGGAGTTTCATTTAATTGGGGTAAAATTACAGTCATGTGAGGAAAGCCTAAGGGAAGTGTATTTTTTAAATGACAAATCGGGGATAATTATTAAGAAATTGAAGGTACTCGAAGAAACAAAGATTCCTGGCTGCACTTAACATACATGTATTAAGTAATATTATTTGGAATAAAGAATCAATGCATGTAATTGGGGTAGCAAAATTGATATGCAGTTTTCCAAGGCCAAACTCTATCTGAGTTTAGTTTGAAATGACTTTGTATAACCAAAGAAAAATACTTCAAGGCAACTTTTAAATTCCTAAAATGAAATTTGAATAGAGGTGAATAATAATTACTGTAACCCTATATTTTACACAATTTGCATGTACCTTGGTGCAAGCCTTTCATTTCTTTGTAGAACAGGGTCCATGGAACCAACCTCTGCACAGCAGACACTTGTTAGTATACTTATTTGTGCATGATTGTCCTTGCGCACGGTCCACCTTTTTAGTAGAACTTGGTCATTGTCTATTGCAGTTAATATGTCATTCTCAGGCATCGTGGGGATTTCCATTGTTAATCCATCAAGCCATGACCTCATAGTTTTGTATTGTCCACCTGGATGCAGTTTTCCATATATGTTAACTGCCATTTTGCTGCGTGCAATGGAGTACATAACCAAGTTAGCTCCAAACATGATTGGACTAATAAAGTTCGGCTTCACCAAACTGTACATCTGATCAACAGCCATAACCTTTTTGACAGGTTTTGTACCGCTATCACTCAACCCATTCACCACACTTTTAAGGACAACATTTTGTGACGTAAGCCAGGATTCAGGTGTCACTGTCAACAAATCAGAAATGCTCTTGTAACTCGGTCGCAATAGTCAGCTTTCAAGTTTTCTCTCTCAAGGGAAAAGATAGCTTCAACTAATTTCAATAGTAGCTGTCTATCAATGTTTTTCACTGATGAAAATATGTCTTTTGGATCAATGAAGACAAGACCAAAACGGGAGCAAAGATCGCGACATAATGCTCTTGCTAATTCCTCATCAATAAGATGCAAATTCTCTGATATGGTGCTATAAATGTCACAAGAAGCTTTCTCATATTCATCTTCTTCTTCTTCCCCACTTGCAGTGTCACTTCCACTTGCCACTTCAACACGTTTCCTTTTCTTAATCAGACCTGGTCTCCCTTTTTTTTGTTGCAAATGCATGAGCTTTCTTCTGTGTGAGGCTTCCAAGAACATGGAGTATTACTCAAAGAAGAAGTAAGTTCTCCTCTTGAAGCTGAATCTCTTAAGCGATAAAAATGTCTCACACATGACAGACAAACACATGGTGGATGTATGAAGTCATTGTCTTCTTCAATAACAATGCCATAACCTGTTGCAAACTCATTCTTGAAGTTACCTTTGGCTTTTGCACTTTTTAATTTGGTGGTCTTGCCACAAAATCGACAAAGGTTTGCTATTTTCCTTTTATGTTCATTAACTTCCATCTAAATTCCCAGTAGCAAGCACCAAAACCTATGGAGCACAACAAGCCAGTTAAGACAAAGAAGTCAGTCATACTTCTTTAAGGGCAGCATTTTCACGACGGCTAAATACAAAAAGGTCGACGCAAGGAACGAGAGATTCGAGTATAATGCTCTGTTCAAGCCTTAAACGGAGCATGCAACAACGTTAAAATTGCCCGGAATAATAAAAAAGACAGATAACAGCAACGCCCTGTATTCTGTAGTTGCTCCGTTGAAAACACAAAATGGCGGTTAGTAACAGAATTATACCGTAAATCAAGACCACCCCATGCACTTTTTCCCGTCAGTTTGCATTCGGACAAATAACAGTTGCATCGAAAGGAAATAGTTTGAAGATCAACTCCATAATTTTTTTAACTGCGACAAAATTCTTTTACTAGCCTAAACTTAAAGGCAAAGTTGAAAAACATACCTCATTTCAACGTGTTATTCCAACCACCCTGTCACTTCTCGGGCAAAAATTTCGCTTCAATCATCCTATGATGAACGCCATCTTTCTTGCACTTGATGAACGGTGTCTCTATCACTAAACTCCAATAGACTTATGGGTACATAAGGCGAGCAATACCGAATAAAAAATGAAAAACACGAACGGCGTACGAAAATCTCCGATTTCCGAAATGGCCGCCATGCTGTGACGTAACATGGTTATCAAATTTGATAACCATCCCGGACTGGTCGTGATTGGCAAATGATGATAGGATTCTTTGCAGCGTTATGCTCGGCTGCGAGTTGTTTAGCTTTCCAGATCTGCAATTTCCTCTTTTTACTGATAATATTTCTTCAAGACCGAGTGAAAGATTCTTTGAAAACAAGGAAGGACTTACTATTAGTTTTCTTGTCTGTCTTTCCAGGCCCCGCGAGTAGCCCTTGCTAGCTACTTACGGGTGGAGATTTTTCAACTTTCTTCTTGAAACAATCTGCTTTTTACATGTTTCTCCTTCTGTACGGTCACACAGCTTACCGGTTACAATAATTACTGAATCAAATGTTTTCCTGCTCTTTTCACTCCGCAGATCGGATGCTATAATGATCAAACTTGGACTGGTCGTGTCAGTTCTCTCAATAACAACAATGTGTGACGCTGGTGAGTAATTTGATTAAAGGCAGACGCGTCCTTTCTCGGGGGTACAATTGCGGAATTGTATCACGATCGGGATACATTCGAGATTACTCAACATTCGAATTTAGGCCACTGGATCAAGAATCAACCAGCTGCAGTTCCTCTTTATTTAACCAGTGCAGGCAAATTCATACCCCCACCGTGGTAGTTTTTTATATGTTGCAGTATTTCGAAACGATTTTACCTTCAGTGGAAAGCCTTTGATCGCCTTGACAAGATAGGGTATATTTTTTTCTTGAGGCCTGCATGGAACGCCACCAACAATAGTCGCCCTCTTGGATTTTACCAAGTATTAGAAATCAGGTTAAAACCGTGAGAAATGGTGATTTTTGTGGTTGACATGAAAAATAACAGATAAGCACTTTGCGTGATTTCAGCCACAAGATTTACTCTTATTGTTGAAAAAAGTTGAAAAAACATGTACTTTCACTCAAAAATGGCTTGACCACCTGCTACTTATGACGTCATATCTCGTAACCACAGACATTTTGACTCAAATGTGCTTGAGGGATGAACGAACAACTACTGAAAAGATCAGATGCTGATATTTCAGATATTTTATCATCTAGGACAAAATTCAGAAAAAACTTATTGGGGCCACCCCCCCCCCTTTGTACAAGAGAGAATGAGCGAGCTCATAATCTCTTGGTTAAAGTTTAGAAATATAACTAACCTGAGACCAGACTCTATTTTCGTTTCGCTTTGTAAATAACCGGCGAGCATGGCGAAACGAAAAGAGAGCCTGATACAAACCTTCTACGACACGTCTGCCGCCCACGTTTTTCATTGATTGACATTTGCCGAATCAGCCAACCAAAATTACTTCCGTTGCTTGTTTTTCTGGTATGCAAATTTTTCACGCGTGGGAAAAATGCAGACTGGCTGACTGAAAAAATAGCTTTTATCTGTAAATTTTTTCAGCTAAAAATAAAACAGTCAGCACAATCACATTTAACTTCTTGCGAGATTAAGGGAGATCTCGAAGGTTATTTCTGATGGCGTAGAAGGTAAAAGTTTTCCAAAAGACGGCGACAAGATGTTCTACCAGTTTTATTATTTTGGCTGGGCGCGTTCGAATTTAAAATACTGAAATTTCTATTTTTTCGTTGCCTTGATATTTTCCTCGGCAATTTCCCCCGATTTTCAGTACATAAATCTTTAAAAACAAAAGCAAACAGCCAACGAGCGAGGACACCAGTTTTCCTGGTTTATTTTTTACAAAAAGCGAAGGTAAACAACCAGTCTGTTAACACTGAAAATTCCTTGAACAGCGATGCGATATTTTTCGTCTAATACTTCACAGTTGGCAATTTAGGTTTCTTTCGCAGTGAGCCTCCACTTGCGTACCCCGTTCAGAGAAGTCATTCCTGGCTAAACGTTCAAATGAAACCAGTTTTAAGATGGACAGTATTTTGATTTGCACCCGTTTGTTGGTAAATCAAAAGGCACCTTGTTAGCGGTCAACAACTTGCAGGGGGATTCAACTCCGCGATAAAAAACCTGACCTGTGGCCTGTGATCTGACCTGTGGCCTGTGACCTGTAAACTGACCTGTGACCTGCACTTTAGCCCCGCCGTGTCTTCCCTGCCTGTAACAGCTGGCTGAAGTTTTCGAGTCCGAGGTCAGTTTGAAATCAAAATTTTAGTTGTGCGACACATAAACACAACATATTTTGTATAAATTTAAAAAAAAATTAAACTTGAGCCTGCTGGTCCCCCTGCGTAAAGAAATATTTAATACCTGTTATATTTTCACCTGAGATCAGACCCAATTTTAGCGGTTCTCATACATTCTCTCTAACGGCTACCGGTAAAATTGGGCCTGATCCAAACTCATTCACGTTTGTGCTCGTTACGGCCAGATTTTGGCCGTAACGCTGATTGGCTGTTAGAACAGTGTGAGAGCGAAAATGTTTTGTGTGGTTAGCTTAAAGAACGAGGAATATTCATAATAACTATTAGCGCGTTTCTACCTTGTGTGAGAGCGAAATTGTTTCGCGTAGATGTCTTATAGAACGAGGAAAATTCATAATAACTATTAGCGCGTTTCTACTTTCTGTGAGAGCGAAATTGTTTTGCGTGGTTAGCTTATAGAATGAAGAATATTCATAATATATAACTATTAGCGCGTTTTTTCTTGGTGTAAAAGCGAACTTATTTTGCATAGATGGCTTGTAGAACGGAGAATAAACATAGCATGTTTGCATTTCGATCTCGCTTTATTCACTAATAGAACCATTGGAATGACATCATTTTCTATTGGTACCAATCGTACCATTGGTACCAATGGACCATCGGAATTCCCCTGTACCCAGCCAGACCACATGAGAAAATAATCTAAGTCCCGTCAATGAGATGCATATTCACCAATAGAACCATTGGAATTACATCATTTTCTATTGGTACCAATCGTACCATTGGTACCAATGGACCATCAGTTTGACGAATCGTATCCGTTTGTGTATATTGGACATGTGTGAACAATGCCACAAGATCTGATTGGCTGTCGGAAACGCCGAAAGTTGAAAGCGCTTATTCCTCGCGTGGTCAGTTTTCGTGAATGATCCGTCGTCGGCGCAGAGAAGGATCGATTTTGCTGTCTTTTTTATTATTTTATGGTGTTATGGTAGGAAAATATCCCTTAGTATGTGCCATGGAAATTCAGAAAATTTATATTGGTTGTTTATATCTCCTCAGGATTTGCTTTATTTACGGAAAGTGAGTGTATCGCGGAGTTGAATCCCTCTGCAAGTTGTTGACCGCTAACAAGGTCCATTTTGATTAACAGATAAAAGCTATTTTTTTAGTCAGCCAGTCTGCATTTTTCCCACGCGTGAAAAATTTGCATACCAGAAAAACAAGCAACGGAAGTAATTCTTATTGGCTGATTCGGCAAATATCAATCAATCAAAAACGTGGGCGGCAGACGTTTCGTTTAATAAAGATTTGTATCAGGCTCTCTTTTCGTTTCGCCTTGCCCGCCGGAATGTAATTTTCAAAGCGAAACGAAAATAGAGCCTGGTCTCAGGTTATCTGAAGCGATACTGGCCTTACGTGATACCTTTCAGGGGCTGCATCTCGAATGGTAAGCCAGAGTAATTATTGTATTTGATGTTTGTTTTTTGTATCTAATTTAATGAAGTCGACCGTAGTTTATGCGGGTATAGAGAATACTTCATGGAAATTGCTGGCGTACGGTATTTACGCACGAGTTGTTGACGTATCAGAAAATCAAACGAGTGAGCGCAGCGAACGAGTGAGATTTCTGATACAAAAACAACGAGTGCGTAAATACCGTACAAAGCACTTTCCATGTGGTATTGTGTTTATTATATACATACTGAGACATTCATCATTTTGGCGGCCGTTTGATTTATAATCTTTCAAAAATGCTAAAACTTGCCGCCACACACTTACCGCAAAATGACAACGAAAACGAAGTATCAGCTTTTTAGTAAAAACGTTTGTTAACAACATAAATGATGGTAAGGATATGAGGTAATCCAAGAACTATAAGTAATCTTAACTGTTTGTTGTCAATGCACAATTAAAAATGAGTGAATTTAAGTTAAATGGCCGGTTTCAATATAAGCTTAAAGCTTAAATGAAAAGCAAAGTAGCTCCGACAAAAAGCACAACAAAAGCTTACGTCTCGTTCTGTTTTATCGACAGTGAATTAAACGAAACTATTCCACTCCATTTCTGAAATGTTTTTCACTTTTTAAGGAGAAAAACCCTTTGAGTAAAACTTTTCTCGTTGAATGTGTGCGAAGCGGCGCTGAAAGCTGCAATAAAAGGCGGGAATTTGGGCGCGAAACTCACACACCTTTGTGGCTTCT